TTTATGGAGAGGTGATCGGACATCGATGCTATGGAGTCAATCATCAAGCGATACACTGAGTGCTGCGCAGTGCAATTAAGTAGAACAGTCTTGAAATGCGACGCTCGCTGAAGGCATCAGAGAAGAAAGTAGTTCAGCTCAACACAAGATGGGGCCGCGTGTTGACGACGAACTGGGCCGAAAGAAGTGGAAAAGCTTCGAGGACTAAACGCGGCCGCTTCTAGTGAAGTAAATAACTTCAAGATAGAGCTTCAAATAGATGACGTGTGAATAAGTCAGATGATGCACAATTCTGAACAGTGATCCCCACTTACCTGGTGTAGCAAAGACGTTTCATTTAACATGTGTTTGGTAGAACTGCCTTTGTGATGGAAGCCATTAGACTGGTGACTGACAGGTTGAGGCAACAAGTCGTAAGATGTTTGGTTCACTTCACGTAGGGCACGCCGGAGTTGCAGACCACTCAAATTGTATTGACCGGCTCGATGAAGCACCAGTCCCAAGTTGTTCCGCAACAGCGCGCTCTCACACTGATCGGTCGCAGGCGAACCTTGAACTGGAGGAGGTATATCGGATAGGCGGCGAAGCGCCTCAGAGTGATTACCCTGAAAGAAATAAGTCAGATGAAGTTAAAAGTTGTAGTTTGAAAGAGTAGTAGACCAAGTGGCTTAGAGAAGGAAGTTATAGGAAGTGACTGGTTTTTCTGAAAACACATCTGTCTAAGGAAAGATGGGTGAAGCAGGATAAAAATATGCCCAATCGATTTCAAATGACAAGCCACAAGTGACAATAGAAACAACGGCGGGGAAATGGTGTGAGAAAATTACACAGGGTCTGCATAGTCCCATTGGTGCATGCGGCAACCATAAAACACCTAATTCTTATAATCTTTCGGGGTTACGGTTGGCGGCATCCACAGCTCCATCTACATACCCCATAGCCATTGTAAACCCGAAGGTATAAGATTGGGAGGCATGTGAATGGGAGCTACGTTTCATCAACGGAGCCGGCCTACACACCTGCAACATGCATAGCAGTAGCATTCCTGTCTATCTATGTAGGGAATCATGCGTACCAAATGCACATAAGGCGGTGGCTGGACCGTAGTCTGCTCCACACTGGATGGAACGACTCTTTAGGCCTAGCACAGGTGGTGGGTGTTAGACAGGTAGGCACCTTGTCAACAATCACATCAAGCGCAGTTCCACTGGGGGTATCAAATAACTAACTTAGAATTTAAGGGAAAGCAAGCACGCAAAGCTGACATAGAACATGCATTAGAATAACAGAAGTGAACAAATCAAATAAAGTGGAATGACTTTTATCCAGGTTAAAAAGACCTAGTTTAGGTGCAAGTTGATTTAACCTAACTGCGGTGAAGAGGCATCATGAATGCAACATCTACCTCAGCATGAGGCACACTGAGATTATAATGCACAGACAAACATCAGAATTACCATGAATAACATATTACGCAGTCCCGACGCATGAAATGGACATTTAACCGTTTGTCGAGTTTGAAGGGTATGGCGATGAGCAGAAGGTAGGTGTAACCTGGAAATCTAAAAGATGCACAAGCATGATCAAGAGAGAAACAGAGCGTATAAGGCCGACTCGTCATAGCAGGAAGAACATGTACACTAAAGGATAAATCAAAAAGGAGGGTTAGGGTAAGAGTGTATATATATATATATATATATATATATATATATTGCAACAGTCTACGAATAGACATTGCACCATCGGAAACCATGGAACTCAAAACAAGGTACAGAAATAGTAAAAGAAAACACAACACAACACATCAAAGTCCATGGTTTCGTCAGAGGACGAGATAATACCCGGTTGCCCAAGCCGAAGTAGGGTGTTGACTTAGGGGAGACCACCCCGAGCCTTTGGCTGAATAGCCTGCCCGTGAGAAAGTCACAGTGAACTCGATCATTTTGGGTGGGGAAGACGTGACCAGTAAGTATACAAATCATTACGACGCTGGCATGCCGAACAACCTCCTCGTGGCGCAGCTGGGTGGTTCGGATTTTTCTCGTTCCAGCGATTGGTTCGGCGGTTGTGTTCCAGGACGTGGTAGATTTTTGCCTGACACGCGTCCTCCCGATAAAATGCCACAAATATCCGTTTAAGAACACTGTGACGTGGTGGACGTGACCTGCAACTAAATAAGGTCACTGCCACTCCGGTAGAGCATTGTATTCTAGCAGTTTGCTGACGTATCTGTGGGAGGATTGGGCCCGTATTTGGTACCTGACCAAACGAAAGGCGTATGAACCGGGAAAACTGTCAGCGGCTCTCAATAGGTGCGATTCCCGGAATTCGTTTTGCTGCCTTGTGGAGAAGCTATTTAGCCAAACGCTCAGGGTGGGGTCCGCTAAGACCACTCCATACTTCGGCCTAGGCAACCGGATAGCATCTCCCCTACTCACGGTCTCGATCATAAGATGTTCAACATTTTTGCTAATGCACCAGCTTTACAACCACACGCCAGCCAATGACCTGTCTTCCCTTTGGATTATTCACCCACTTCATTACCTGATTCCTCGACGGCGAACAACTCTGTCTCCACCGGGGAATTCGTCCCATCAACATTCGCCAACTCAACCACACAGTGCATTCCAGGTGAATCGCCAGCCACATCGTCTTCCATCATCGCTACTGCAACCCGGAACTCGGTTCAAGCTGGCAATACTAAATGTGCGCAACAGTAGTAGTATATTCACAATCTGAGTACAGGGGAGCCATCATAACCATGATCAAATAAAGGAGGAAAACGAAATACAACTTGTAAGAAACGATTTTTTTTCTGTCTTACATAAGCCGTTCTGGGATATTTTGTGATGCGGACTTTTATGTTCGATGAGATGTTAACTAATAGATAACGCAGTTGAACAGCACTCTTTACACTGATGCAGGTTGCGCGCCATTGCTTTCAAGGTTTCTAACCACTAATAATCCGAAGGCGGACCCGTCCGATAAATGTTAAGCTTGAGGTTGCATTCTGCATGCTTCTTCTCCAGGTCATTGGTCGTCCACCGCGGAACTTTTCCAATCGCTTCCGGGGAACGCAAATAACGCTCGACGGGGAAGGCGATAGGTCGGCATGCGCAATACGTGGCCGAGCCAATGCATGCGATGTTGGAGAATAACCGTTTGGAGGCATGGGCTGTTTGCTCCAAACACTCGCTCTCGGACTTCTGCGTTACTCACGTGATGCTGCCACCACTTGCAGACAACAATTGTCGAAAACTGACAATTGTTTTAGGTCTTGTGAACAAGTTGGCCAGGTCTCACAACTGCAAAAGAGGACCGCACGGACAAAGGCGATGTACACCCTGCCCTTGAGTTTGAGACTGACGCGACGGCGCCATAAGTGTCTTAGTCTGATCAACGCAAGGCGAGCCTTAGCGATCCGTTGTGAGACCTCATTTCCAATACAGCCGCCAGCTATGATGCAACGCGGTAGCTAAGTGAAGCAGTGGACTCGTTCCAGGACGTTACCAGCAATGGTGAGGGTAGACAGGCATCGGCCAATCATGGAGTAGTACTTTACATTTGCGTGGCGTGAAACACAGACCATACTTAGATATCCCCAGCACTAAGGGGTTCATAGCTCTCTGGCCGGATTGTGGATCGGCCCGGAGTAAAGCGATATCATCGGCATTTTCCAAGTCCGCGACTCTGTCACCTGGGAGAAGCTCAATACCGCAGTTTTGAAAGCTTTCCAATGCTCGTTAGAGAACATCTTTAATGGCAAAATTGAAAAGAAAAGGTGAGATTGGGCAACCTTGGCGCACGTCGCTAGTGACAGCAGACGAAGTTGAAAGCGTACCATAAGCCCTGACTTTACATGACATGTGACTGTAGAGATCCTTCAAGCTGGTTACATACTTGCCGGGCACACCTTTCCCTAGTAGACAGTTCCACAACGCTGATCTAGCTACTGAGTCAAAAGCCGCTCGGATGTCTAAGAACACTAAGATTGTTGGCCGTCCGTGGACGTGACGGAGTTCAAGCAGTTGGCGGAGTGTGAAGATGTGCACACTGTACTGTAGATCGGACAACAAGAAGGACTGGCACGCATCTTGGAAACCTTTGCAACTGATGTCTGCTACTTGACTGAGACACGAGTTCAGGAGTCCAGCACAGTGTACTTGCTATTGTTACCAACCTACCCCCACACCCGCTTTTATCTTCGACTTTCTGGTGATCTTGAGTCTACCGCTTCTGGGCAAGTTGGTGTTGGGAATGCCCTCAGTGCTAGAGCCGAGGCCGTCCTCCTTGAGTGGATTCCAATCAACAGTTGTCTCTGTGCTATTAGGTCCACTGGCTCCTACAAGGTTAGAAGATATCGAGCCGATAAGCGTGGTTTTTTTGATCGCCGCCTATGCCCTATTGACTGCAGCTCGGATGCAGTCAAGGACCAGCTCTAGCAAAGTCCTAAGGGCACCTAAAACGGACATAAACATTATGGCAGGATATTTTAACTCACGCGTTGGTCGGCTGCTTCCATCTGAACGCCACATCGGAAGACCACAGGGATATGACGATGTTCGCTCTGACAATGGAGAAAGATTGCTCAGTCTGTGCGGCGACCACCAATCATTCCTCTACAATACGAGCTTCCGCCACCCCAGGCAACATTACGCCACCCGGCGTCCTCCATCATCAATCCAGCGTTGGTCGTAAATTGACCACATAACCATAAGTCGAGGGTGGCGTGGAAACATACGCGACTGCCGAGCATACCAGTTAACTTGTGTGGTAATCGATCATGCATTGGTGTGCGCGACAGCTTGCATGCGTTTCGGTGACTCCTCTAGGGCCAAACAAACCAGACTGAACATTTTCGATTTGGAAGATCCTGCAGTACAAACAGAGTATCAACAGAAGCTTCGTGAAAACATTGCCCCCTTCGCTTCTCTAGATGCTAACTGGCTGTCCGCCAGGTTGGTCCAGCTGAGGCCTCGTTCACTGCACAGCTAAAAGCTGGATTTCGGCAACTTCCTCGGAACTTCTAGATCGCCAAGGTGTTGTGCTCGCTGGCACGAAACACAACGAAATCCATCGATCTATTTCTCTAAAACTGAAAGTAAGTCTTCGCTCTGACCGTATGGCTGACGTGGAGGCCGCTGCATCGGTTGGTAACTGCCGCAGTTTGTTTCGCCTCATCAAGCCCACCGGTTGCAATTCACACGCCATCAATCAGACAATCTGTGAGTTAGAGGGCACAAAAATCACCAAGTTGCAGAGGCGATAGAAGCGCTGGGCAGAGTAGTTTACTCTTCAATTTAACTACCCAGAACATCCCTCTGTGACACTTCCATCTCCGTCGGATGATGTTTGGCCTGTCCCCATTGACCCTTCTACCGAAGTAGAGATCCGATATTTGAAATGGAATAACGCTTCCGGACCTGACAGGCTTCCCCCGGCTCTTTTCAAAGATGGCAAGAATGTAGTTGTCAACGAGTTGCCCACGCTTTTCACGAAGGTTTAAACTAATGAGAAAATCCCCAACTCATGAGAAGGCTCAATTGTTGTCCCGTTTCATAAGAAAGGCGCCCGCGAAAATCCAGTTAATTACCACGGAATCTCG